CTCTGCCACCCCGGGCCTCGGCCCCGAGGCGCCGTGTCAGTCCCTTGGTTGACACGGAGAAGGAGCGGGACCATGATACTGAGGCCTTCTGCACCCTGTGCGCGCGCGTGCTCCAGGTGAGAGGCTCTACCAGGTCTCCAGGTTGGGGCAGGCGGGTCTAGGGTTCGGAGGACTAGGCTCAAGATGTTTATTGAGGGACTGGGCAGCCCACTAATACCCTTTGGCTAGACTGCCCCCATCTCTAAAATGGGGATGATATTGCTTCTTACCATTCCTCAACACCAGTACCCTGCTCAGGGCCTTTGCCCTTACTCTTTGACTGGAAGATTCTTCCCTAGACCTTCCTTCTTGATAAAAATGCCACCTCCCCTCTGTGAGGTCTTCCTTGGCTCTCTGTCTAAAATTGCCACTTTTTCTTGTACACTTCCCTGCCTTTTTTTTTAAAGGCTTAATACATTGTCTGACATACTATGTATTTTGCTTACCTTATTATCAGTCCTTCCTACCAACTCTACCACCACCTTCACCACCCCCTCTACCGCTGCCCCTGTCCACAAGGGCATTTAGTTCTTTCTCACTACTCTAAAACAGATCTGGTGCAGAGCAGGTGACCAACTATTTAATAAATTAACTGAGATGGTGGGTCTGACTTCTAAGCTCTCAGTAAGTGTAAGTTGAGTTCTTGCCATTTAGAGATTAAGTGACCTGCCTGAAATTGCTTAGCCTATAAGGATCTCTAGGTCCGGCTGCCCTGGCCACACTGTTACATAATCACTGCTAACACTGAGAAAATTGGCCAACTTAGTCCCTGTGGACAAGTACTTAACCTCTCTGTGCCTCAGTTTCCCCATCTATAAAATGCAAATGATAGTAGTGGTTGCCGCATAGGGTTGTTTTATGCAGCAGTGTCTGGTCCATTGAAATTCTTTGATTGTTCGCTATATTATGACTCCCCATTTCCTCTCTTACCGGCCTGCCACCTCTGACAGGATGAAGAGGGCCCCCTGTGTTGCCCCCACGCTGACTGCTCCCTAAGGGCCCATGTGATCTGCCTGGCAGAGGAGTTTCTACAGGAGGAGCCAGGGCAGCTTCTGCCCCTAGAGGGCCAATGCCCTGGGTGAGTCCTGCACCCCTACCCCTGCCTGGTTTAGCTCTGGGAAGACGGTGCCCAGTTGTCCAAGTCCAGGCCTGGGGCAGCCAAGTCCTCATCTTGGCACCCAAGTCCTCATCTTGGCACCCAGGGCCTGGCCTGGAGGAGGCTTGTAATCCTGACTGTCTCCTACCAACCGCACCCCTTGGTAGCTGTAAGAACTCACTGCTGTGGGGAGACCTGATCTGGCTGTGCCGGATGGGCACCGAGGAGGAAGAGGAGGACTTGGAGTTAGAAGAGGTGAGGGGTGGCTCTGGCGCCAGCTTCCTGACCCCACCCCATCTCCTGGGATGCCTTTGACCAGCCCTCTTGTCTCCACAGGAACACTGGACCGACATGCTGGAGATCTGATCCTCAGTATCCCCAGCCCTCTGCCCGCTCCTTGTCTGTGCCACACTCTGCGGGGATTTTTACTTGAGTACAATAAAAAGTTTGAGTTAAGGGTATACCTTCTGGTGTTTGTGGGGGTGGGATGGGAGGTGGCAGCAGGAGGCAGAGGCCCTGTGAGTCACAGGGGCCTGAGGAGAACAGAGGAAGTGGGAGGGGCCGCTGACCCAGCACGGACCAGACTCCAGCTTTTCCCAGCACGCCTCTGAGGTCACACAGCTCTGAGGGCTTGGGAGACTCACAACTTTGATGCAGAGCCCACTCACCTCCAGTGCCCAGCTTGACTCTGGACTTTAATTCAAATAGTAAGGACAGAAGCTGAGGAAGGGGGGATGATGCTCTCCTCCCGTGAGGTCCTGTGTCTAAGCCACAATGCCTTTGTATCTGTGTCTGCAGAGTCCCCTTCAAACCCAGAGGAAAAAAAGCACCTTCTGGGGGCCGGTGTTCTATGAACCATGAGGGCAGCTCCATGCGGTCCCACGGGTTATAACACCCACGGTTATTCGACTTCAGCGTTCTGACACTTTTCTATCCTGTGCTGCCTCAAAAAGTACCTGCCCTGCTCATCTCCACCCCGCACCCCCAACCTGGCCCACCCACCTCACTCTGGACTGACCCTGCGGTCTGGTCTGAACCTGAAGTTCCCTGAATGCTTGCGCTGCTGGGGGCCTGTGAGCTGCCTTCTGCCTGAACCCTTGGCAAGACTGGCCTGGAGCCACCAGGAAGGTGTGTCTCACCTTTCCCCTTCACTCCTCTGCCCTTTTAGACTAGGTGCATTAGGAAAACATCTCCACCCCACCCATCCCTCCACCCCACAGGGGTGGGCTTTAGAGGGAGGTCAGGAGCCAGGATTACAGCTCAAAAACACCAAAACACAAAAAAGAAAACTCTCAGCCCTTTTGTCTAGTTTTAGTCTTCTGTTTTCTACTCACCGAACCCACATCTTGGGTTTTCAGATGAGTCAAAGTTTGGTTCCGGCTTCGTGCTGAGGAGGATGGCACAGAGGGGCCCTCCCACCCCAGACTCCACCCTTTCCTTCCTGGACCACAGCCATGTCCCAGTGCTGGCTCCAGATCCCTCCCACTTTGGACCTACAAAACCTTCAGCTCAGAGAGCTGTTCTGCACTCACCATACCGCACCCACTCTAAGCCACAGCACGCAGAGGTGTACCCCAGAGAGGAACAAGATCCAGAGAGGCCAGGTGAGAGCGGGGCGGGCAGGGCTGGATCTCCCACACCTGGCACTGTTAGCTCCTCTCCTAAGGCTTGATCTCTCTGCTCCTGCCTCTCGTGTCCCTGCCCTTTCCCCAGTGCCCGTCTCAATCCGCCAACTCCAGCCAGGCCTGAATCCCTCTTCTCTTTTCCTCTGCTGAGTCATCACAGTTTTGCTTATTCATATACCAGACTCTGGTCCCAGAAACAAACTTAGTTGCTCAACTACCTGTGTTTATCTCTGAGCTGGGGAATGTGGCTGGGCAAATAGGGTCATAGGCCTGGCTGGCCTTTGGGAGTTTTCCATGTGTGAGGGGCCCAGGGGGCTTAAGGAGGGGACGTCAGGGAGGAGCCCACCAGAATGCGGCCTGAGAGCTGCAGCAGAAAGCAGTAAGAGGAAGAAAGCGGGCTGGCAGGGAGCTCAGACAGGCAGGCCCTGGTTTTCTCAGGTGCACACTGGAATCCCCTGGAGAGCGTCCAAAAAACTGGTATCCGGATTTCATGCCTAGAGAGTGATTTGATTGGTCTGGGATTTTAAAAGCTCTGCAAATAAACAAGAATGCAGCCAGGGTTGTGACCCACTGCATGAGCACTGGATCTGGCTTTGAATCCCAGCCCTACCACTCACTCGCTTTGCGAGCGTGGGCGAGGTGCTCAGACTCCTTCAGCCTGCTTTCTTACCATAAAGAAAGAGCTCAACAGATGGCACTGTTGTCATGTTGTTCAGGGAAGGAGGCCACACTCTGGCCCCTGACACGGCATCATGGAGCTGATGCAGGACACCCCCCGCCTGCCGCTGGAGTATGTGAAGGGGATCCCTCTCATCAAGTACTTTGCAGATGCACTGGGGCCACTGCAGAACTTCCAAGCCCAGCCTGATGACCTGCTCATCAGCACCTACCCCAAATCAGGTAGGTGATGAAGGCACCTGTGCCTCTCCTGGGCTGCAGTCCCCACCCTGGGCCAGAGGGGCAAGCCCTCAGCTCCACTCATCGCCTGCCTCCCTCCCTTTCCAGGTACCACCTGGGTGAGCGAGATCCTGGACCTGATCTACCAGGGTGGTGACCTGAAGAAGTGTCAGAGAGCCCCCATCTTCATCCGGGTGCCTTTCCTTGAGTTCAAGGTCCCTGGGGTGCCCACAGGTATGTGGCGGGATGCTGAGGGCAAGTGTTGTGGAGGGAGGTAGGACTGGGGCTCCAGCTCAGCAGACTATTCCCTACCTACGCCTTAGGTCTTGAGGTTCTGAATGATACACCAGCCCCACGGCTCCTCAAGACACACTTGCCCCTGGCCCTGCTCCCCCAGACCCTACTGGATCAGAAGGTCAAGGTGAGTGGCAGAGAAAGCCAGGGGAGGAGGCTGCTGGGGCCATCCCAGCTTTGGCCTTACTTTCTGGGAAGGTCTCCTCTTAAGGAGGGAGGCCACCTGCCTGACACTCTAGTGGGGTCAGATGACCAGTGAAAATGAGACTGCTCTGTGCAGAGTCTGAGTGTTCACAGGCCGGTGGAGGAGGGGCTGGTGGGAATCCGGCATGCCTTGTTCCAAATCCAGGTAGAGTGGCATTGAGGGCATTAGATTAGTATAATATAGGGACTAGCCTAGACTTTGGCATCAAAGCAGGGTTCAAGTCACAGGTCAGCCTTGCCCACATCCATGGGACTGCAAGCAAGTCAGCCTCTAGGCCCATTTCCCCCTTGGCTAAACTGAGAGAACCTCCCTGGCAAGGATGCTGTGAAAGAGGGGCACCTGGGGCCAGGCGTGCTGTGTGGTGATGGTGCCCGGGGTCGGGGGTCATCTGCCCTTCCAGATGGTCTATGTCGCCCGCAACGCAAAGGATGTGGCTGTCTCCTACTACCACTTCTACCGCATGGCCAAGGTGCATCCTGACCCTGGCACCTGGGAAGACTTCCTGGAGAAGTTCATGGCTGGGGAAGGTGGGCTGACTCTGGAAGAAGGAGGCGGCGGGGAGCTGAGGGGCAGGGGGTGGAGTTGAAGGGCATCAGCTAAAACTAATGCCAGCCTGTATTGATGCCCCCTGCCCTTTTCCTCAGTGTCCTACGGGTCCTGGTACCAGCACGTGCAGGAGTGGTGGGAGCTCAGTCACACCCACCCTGTTCTCTACCTCTTCTACGAGGACATACAGGAGGTGAGACCACCTGCTTCTGTTTCCCTCCATGTCACACATGGGGAGGCAGGAACCTCACTACAACCTGCCAAGACCTTCTTGGTACCCCCTTGCCCCCCCATGGCAGCCCACAGACCAGTCCTCTTGGAGCCCCTGCCCAGCACTGAGAGCAGCCATGCCCCCTTGGCAGCAGCACCTGGTGCCTTAGTCAGCAGCAGATGCAGTCATCCATCAGCTGTTTACCACCATTGCTTCACCCTGAGGCCACAGTTACAAAAGAGGACTGTCCCTCCTCTTACTCAGAAGGAACCAAACATCCGTAATAAGGGGTCACAGGGCAAAAGGCAATTAAATCTACCCCAGTTTAAGAGGATCAGGAAGAGGGTCTTTGGTCTCTAAGCAGAAGTGGCCAGATCCCCACAAGGTCAGAGGGACTCCCTCCTGTTTGCTCAGCAAGCAATCCAAACCTCCACTGAAGAGCCCCTCTGCCGCTCCAGAACCCCAAAAGGGAGATCCAGAAGATCCTGGAGTTTCTGGGGCGCTCCCTGCCAGATGAGACTGTGGATCACATCGTCCAGCATACGTCTTTCAAGGAGATGAAGAAGAACACCATGGCCAACTACACCACCATACCCACTGAGGTCATGGACCACAACATCTCCGCCTTCATGAGGAAAGGTGAATACCAGGGGCATCTGGGAGGCAAGGGAAGGAGCAGCAGCTAGAGCCAGACGCGAGCCACCCGGGGCCACCCTTCCTCCTTTCCCCTCTCCCCAGGCATTGCTGGGGACTGGAAAACCATGTTCACCGTGGCCCAGAATGAGTGCTTTGAAGCCGACTATGCCAAGAAGATGGCAGGCTGCAACCTCCACTTCCGCTCGGAGCTGTGAGTGGTGCGCATCAGGAAGGGTGTGAAACAAGCCCAACCGTGGCCTTGAGAATAAAATCTGATGTGTGTTAAACAGAGCGCCTCTGTTGGAAGCAAAGAGCAAACCTCAGTTAAAAAGGTAAATGCCCAATGAGCCTGTCTTCCCCAGTGGCCTCCAGCTCCAACTTGCCCTATATATGGAGAGGGGAAGGTTGTGGGAAAGTAAAATCCAGGAGACACGGACAAGGAGGAAGAATATTTATTTGGTCACAAAATCTTGTGTTGCATCCCCCTCTGAAGGTGTCAGGAGATTGCGAATCTGTAGCCTTCTTCACTTTTTCTTGGGCTCTTTACAAGCCACCACGTACCGCTGGGCCACATTGAGGGGAGGGGAGTAACCATCTGCATAGGAGGTGTCTTCAAAGAGGACAGAATAGTCATCCTGGGGCTGCGTAGGGGGCAGACAGGAGGGACTGGCTGGAGACCCCCCAGGCGAGGGCCCCAGCCTCTCCTGTCCTCATCTTACCTCAGGAAGTCTAGGTGTTTGAACCCAGTCCCTCTACTGCAGAGCGCTTTTCTCAGCAACAGAGGGCCAAGGGCAGGGGAGAACGAGCAGGGAAAAAGGGCTCCCGTAACCTGCGTGAGTGGGCTAGAACTGGGGGGGTCTCATACCTTTTGGGGCCCCGAGGACAACCTAAAGGGCAGCAAGCAGGGATCCTGGAAGAGGAGGGGAGAATGGCCTTTGAACTGCCATGGGATGATGGGTGACCAGGACGCCAGCAATGTCATTAAGAGCATGAGGGAAAGTGGCCTCGGCCAAGGAAAGGGCAGTGGTGCGGGAGTCAACAGTTTCAACACAGGCCCTGGGCCTTCCCAGCGCAAGACAAGAGCGACGTTGGACTAGAGGACCCATCAGGCCCATTCCATGCAGGGCTTGCTAAGGCTCTGAAGCTTGGAAGGAGGGTTGGCTGCCCTAGAGGGCAGGGCTGCGGGGAGTTACAGGGTGGACTAGGCAGAAGAGAAAGGGTAGCTTGCGGGACCCTCTTAACTCAGGGAGGCTGCGAGCTGAGGGCACGGGGGAACTAAGTGGGAAGACGACCCCATGACCCGTCTGTTCAGCTGGTCCTGGTGTCATGGTCAGTCTCCCCAGTGGGGGCTGCCTTACCCGCTGTGGGGGCGTGTGGATCAGGGCACGGTAGAAGCAGGTGGTCTGCGGATACAGGGCCAGCACGAGTTGCTCCTTCTGGAACAAGGCTTCAGGGTCCGTCTCAGGGTTGGCCTTCCACTGGGGCAGTGGGATGATCCGCCGCCGGCTCAGGGTGTGTCTCCTGGGAGGGTGGGGCGCTTAGGTCAACCCACAGCCAGGTGGGGGCCCTGTCCCAGCAGTGGGCTGCCCCCCAGGTTCCCCCCGCCCCCCATCAGCACACTCACTCTTTGCCTTCTTCATCAATGTCATCTACCTCATACCTGCGGGTGAACAAAGGAAACGGTGGATGCGGGGAGGTGCACAGTCCAAGTCATGGGGAGCCCCGAGGAAGGGAGGAGGCGGGGAGGGGAAGTAGCCCCAGGAGTCTTCTGCTTCACACACCACCCCATCCCCACAGGCACCCGGGGGAAGAAGCTATTCCCCCATCCTGCAGACAGGTGACAGAAGCAGCCCAAGCAGGTGTGGTGACAGGAGAGAGGCCCACAGAGCTGGGTGTCCACTCACTTGTTGGTGGCATGGCTGTAACTGACCACCTCGGCCAGGATCCACTGCTCATCCCCATCCACAGCCTTCACCCGGGCAGCCACCTTATCTCCGGGTTTGGCCACGTAGTCCCCAGAAGCCGGAATGGCCCCACAGAGGGGTGGGGGCCTGAGGATAGAATATGTTAGTCCCAGCCCCTCCTTTGCCAGCTCCCCCCACCCTGGGCCCGCCCTCACTTGTCACCAGGCTTCCCGATCCACAGGGGCAGGGTCATGGCCGACTGCTGCAGGAGGGTCATCAGCACGCCCCTGCGCATGGTCTTGCGAGGGGGCTCCGAGTCATTGTACAGGCCCGCGATCTTGGCCGCTGTGGGAAGGAAGGGAGCCCCTGAGACACCATGGATGGGCTGCCGCCCCCACAGCCCAAGTTAGCACCAAGGGCCCAGGTGCCATCCTGTCCTTTCGACCAGATGCCCACAATGAGGCCGCCCAGCTACTGACAGGTGGTGAGACGTCAGGTTGGTGGTACACCTGGGAGGGGAGGGAACTAGAAAGGGCAAAAGCTGGGGTTCTGAGGTGCTGGTCATGTTTGGTTTCTTGATCTGGGTGCTGGTTACATCTGTTTTATTCAGTTAGTGAAAATTTCAATGAGCTGTATGTTCACTTATGTGTATTTTTCTATTAATATATGTTGTAATTTAACAAAAAGTTAAAAAACAAATTCTCAAATGTGGACAGACTCCTGACCTCAGGCATGGCCCAGCCACTCCAGACAATCCCTGCTGGCAGAGTGACATTTTCGATGGGGAGGAGTTGCCCACTGTGGGTTCACTGAAAGGGCAAGAGGGGTGGGAAAGCCACGGCAGCCTGAGGGATTTAAAGGCAGCGCACCGTGAAGATAAACTCCATCTGGAAGGCTGGCTTCAAGATACCCCGGGTGCGCCTCTCAAAACACAGCTAGGTTCTCGGCACAGCAAGGAATTCAGGAGTGGGTGGCAGTAGGAAGGAGGGAGGTGACTGCCCAAGCAGTAGAGGGAGAGCGGGAAACACGACGGAGGAGGGGAAGCATCGTGGTCTGCAGGGAGCACGAGGGATGATCCCATTCCTCTCCCAGCCCCAGGCTGCCCGGGTGCGCTTTTGTCAGAAGCCCATGAACGATGAGATCACACCGGGCTGAGGTTACAGGCTCCCATAGGGAGACATGACTGCTGCTCGTAGGACCCTCACTCCACCTGATAGAAGGGTGTCAGCCGTGTCGTCTTTAACTCACCAATCCGCCTCTCTTCCAACAGAGACTTGATTTCCGCGATCTTATCTAGGGCTTTCCGGAGGATGCTGAGGGCAGGGAGAAGGGAGAGAAGAGGTCTGGATGAAGCACAAAGCGCAGACTTCCTTTTCTCATTATGGCAGGCTGGCTAGCTCAGACCAACCCTACTGCCGGAAACTATAAACCCTAAGTGTGTGTTTGTTAATCTCAAAAGCACAAAAGAACTGATGAGACTGTAGGAAGCAGCAGGCCAAAAAACCTAAGAGGGTCCTGGAGAGGTAAGCAGCGCACTGCCGCTGCCCTAGTGCTTCTGACAAACCCTGAGGGAATGCTGCTGAGCGCTGGCAGCCTCCAACAGCCTCCTGAGAGCCAGAGGTCTGCCCTACTGGGACATGTAAAAGGAGACACTCCAGAGGACTGTAGGGGAGATGTTTTGGCTCAGAGCAGGGCTAGGGGTGGAGGAAACTCATCCCTGAAAGGCTGCAGCCCCAGGAAACCTCTGGAGTTCATTTACGGGAGTTCCAGAGTGGCCGGGACCCACGCAATCTGGCAGAAGTCACACAAATCCTTGTGGGAAGAAGGCTTCTTTATCCTAGACCTCGAGGAATCAATCCCCTCAAAGAATATTTCAACAGCAATAAGCAGTGCAGAATCTACTTTGGGTCACTTATTCTCCACTCCATTCCTCTACCAAACCTTTAGTAAATGCCCACGTGGTTCTGAAGGCCTTGGCTCAGCAGGAGGGAGACCCATGAGAGTACAACGCAATAATGTCACAGGAGGTGTCCTAGAGGGTGTGACTCTTGTGGACTCATCTGGCAAAAGCCAGAAGACCTTGCCCAGAGGGAACTGGGCAAACCAAAGCAGGGAGGGATGAACACCTTGCCCGACAGGCTCAGAGCATCGAACATGAGCACGGCTGGTGTCGGACAGAGGGCTGGCTTGGCCAGAACTATGGAGGGCTTGTGCGTGAGCACTGGGACAAGGGACAGTCAGGCATACA